TTTCGAATATGTTTTGTAACGGTTATGCAGCTCAAGACGGTTACTGAAATTGGAAGACGCAACTGTTTGTATGGTTATAGATACGGGAGGGGGGGGGGTAACTAATTTAATTTTCAAGACTAGTTTCTGCTACCGTAAAAAAATATTGGAGAACTTATTTCGTGAATACTGATATTCAGTGATGTTCATTAAACTATAAGTAAGCAATATTCTTTGTTAATTTAAAAACTATTAACAGAAAAAATTCTTCACGAACTGATTACGCACATTCTCAGTTTATTACATGTGTAGGGTCTACGTGACAACTGGAAGAGTAGTAATTGCACAGAAAAGAAGGGTTAAAAGTACCCTTTATTATGCTCTTTAAAATTTACAATGTTTCAAATCGAAGCTAACATACTACGCCTCTTCTTGGGCGGTAACTGAAATCACAGAACTAAACTAAAAATTTGAGGATATTTACAAGTAGTAGAACTAAGTTACAGGGCTCAGATAATTCCTGGTTTTTTAAACCCGCTTCGAAAACTAGTGGCAGCAAGTAAATGCAGTTATACCACGTAAAACCAGCAATAACTTCGGGAGCAGAAGCTTACGCAAGAGGTAACGGCAATAACATAACTCTCTCTAACTTTCCTACTGAACCTCGGTTTTTAAACTCTTTCTTCACAAGGTTGAATTTGCAAACCTTCACGCTCGTTACCAAATTTAAATATTCTGGCATTGACAATTAGGGAAATGAAGGCTTATAGAAAAGCTTAAAATTAAAACTTAACTTGTTAGTTAAAAATAAATGTAAATCCCTTCACATGCATTTGCATTCAATGTTAAACTCTTTGTTATTGCACTTTTATCATCTTTTGTTATTGCAAACATTAGACTCTTTGCCTTAAACTTGTAGGGAGTTAGTTACTTAACAGTTAATTTTATTTTGAAGCAACCTTTCCTGTTACTTTCGCTTTCAACTCACACTTTCTTGCAGTAATGTAAATGAGTTAGCGCGAGTGTATTAAAAATGAGGTAGAAAGAAGTTGATATTTTAAGGGAAGGTTTCGGAAGGTGAACATAGAGCGGATTCTGCCTGTCTAGAGGCCACGTTACAAATGTAGTTAGTACCTCAGAAATGTACTAACGATTACATTTCTGAGGCGTTGAGCGCTTCCATTAAGCTTGTTTACGCCAACTTTTACGAGTCAGAGCCTACCTGCGTGTTATGTAACTTGTGAAAAACGTTAGGTAAACTTGATTCTATTCTATTTTAAGTTACTTGTTACCTTTTGAGTAAAGTCAAAAGTGCTGGATTCTGTAAGCACGAGTCGGTGCTTTCTATGAACTTTATTTGAGTTAATAAAACCTTCTCCTGGTTTTGTAGCACTTTAAAAGACTTAGTGATGATTCACTAAACAGTCTTCTAACGTCGAGCTTAGTTTAGGGTAACAACAAAACGTACGAGACGTTATAATGTAACTTAAATGTATTCGCGGGTCGCAGAAAATTGCTTCGAAAACCATGAGTTTGAGAAATTATCTTGAAAGGCAAGGAAAGAATTAGGCTTATCTTATCCAGTTTCATTGTCAATAACACGGAAAATAATGGCAGATTTTAAATAATTAAAATCTTTTAAACTGTGATCAAAGCCGCTGTATATAAATTGCATTTTTTTTAATATGCGCTTTGAGCAATATTGCAGTTGGCGTTTCAAACTAGGTTGCTATACATCGAAAATTTATTTAACAAACACAAATCATCTTTTATGCCAAATGGGAAAATGCTTTCGGTTAAAATCCATTTGTACCTTAGTTGTTCTTGCATTCTTACTAACGTTGAAATAAATGTCCGTAAACACAATTAGCAGTTTGTGCTCTAGTTGCGAATCTCATCCACGTCAATTATGCAGCTCAGTGAGCACCGCAAAGATCAGACATGAAAATTTTAAAAGCTTAAGTGCTGTCAGAAATGAATCTAAACCGTTTGAGTTCTAGATTCCCAAAAGCATTTCATTTCTTCTTTCACTTCCTTATTACTTGTCTGACTGGAAAGTAAGAAAAAGTAGCATTTCTTTTTAAATAATGAATTTATGTGCTAGTGCAATATGTAATTCTGAAAGTTGAAATGTTAATTATGAAAGCTTTCAGTTTTTTTTTTTTTTTTTTCATTTACACATACATACACGTTTCAGGAGCATTTGGGCTGAGGCCCCTTTGGGCTAAAAATATTTTAAAACAGCTTATCTTTAAAATTTCCGATAGACAGTCTGCCTCGCTGGAGATAAAAAGATTTTATTCCGTACAGAGTGCTGCCACTGCTCGTTTTGAAGTCGTTAAGTTTCTTAATCAAAATTTTTATCATACGGGAATGACACTTTTTGTCTGTGTACGTTTTTAGCCTAAAGAGGCAATTTGTCTAGAAGGGCTATTAATTTCGTTTTGGCATCTTGCGTTGATTCACTATAAACGGCGAATCACTTTTTAAATTGTTGGCACCAACTATTAGACCTCTGTATTATATTTAAAAAAAGTAAATAATAAAAAAGCTGCATAAATGTATATATGTATGTTTCTCGCAATGCGATAAAACAACGGTACCTAGAACCATCCAATTTTGAACAACGTACGTCTCTACAAGAATATGGTCATCTGGAAGCCCAAATTTGGAATTTGGAACTTGTTTTATTATCTGGTTCATATTTTGTAAAACATTTATGAGTTTTTGATTAAGAAACTCAACGATTTCCAAGACGAGCAATGGCAACACTGTACGGAAAAAAAAAATTTTTTTTATCTCCAGCGCGCGAGACTGTGTATCGGAAATTCTAAAGATACGCTCTTTTCAAAATTATTTTGTGATATTGCTGTTGAACTGAATTATACGGTTTAACTGCGAAGATGCGAAGAACATGATATTGAAGAAATAAAGTAACATGCAAAATTTAAAAAGTCCCTTTATGCGTTATATAAAACCTGAGTACTTCCAAATTTTAATAAAGTTTTAGGTTTTAGGTTTTTTTTTTTTTTTTTTTTTTTTTTTTTTAAACCCATAACGAGCACAAAATTTATTTACTGCGAAAACATGAATCTTTGCATCATTTAAAAAGTTTTTGTAGCGAGAAGTACTATGACCAACACTTGCGAAAAAAAGACCGGCTGAGAACTTTTGTGGACACGGTGTATGTTAATGTATGTCACATATATATATATATATTTGTGTGGGGGGAATGTGTTATAGGAACTGGATAAAATGTAATAAAAATCATTATTGATGCTACACGTAATGTTGCAAATTAATTAATAAATTAAGAAAGAAATAAAATATGTAAAATTAACATCAGTCTAAAGTCGCGACATTTCCAAGAGGAAATTTCAAATTAAAGCCCTCTGACCGGCACGGGGTTTCGCTGAGAAAGCTCATTTTTCCGAAACTTCCTTGAGAAAGAGATATTTTCTTGATTTTAATACCAAAATGCCCCTGGTACTTTATACCTAGGTTTATATATTATTAATTTGCTGCCTTAATTTCTTGGGCGTATTTGAAGATGCATGTGTATATTTTTTCTTAAAAATGTCACAGAAAATATTTTAGACCGTATATATACGGCCTTAACAATCCCTGTTTTACTTACTAACCCGTTTTTTCCTCAATCGAAAAATAAACTTATTTTGGAATTTTATATTTTTTTACAAATTCCACATTTACAAAGCTTGCGAAGTTTTGGCTATTCTGTGGTTTTGATTTTTCTGTTTGCTTTTTCCTTTGCGTTCATTAATTTCATTACCATTTATATTTTGGCAAAAAAAAAAAAAAAAAAAAGTTAACCAAATTTATATCAGAGAATAAATTAATTAGCTTCTTTTTCAGATTTTATGAGACGTTACTTCCATTCGTTCTTGATGGCTATGAAATCAATGAAAAATTGGAGTCCAAATCATTACAATCTTAAACGTTTTCTTCAAATTTTTGTCATCATAATTAATTTCACAATAACGCTAATTAATTTACACGAAATACATTAGTGGACCGTGTAAAATCGCTTCGAGAGCCGCCAGTTTGACACCACTGGAATAAACAACTTCTTCCTGCAAAAGCGTTCTTTCCCAAAGCGTTTAGCATCACTGTAAAAGAGCTATCATAACATTTACGTAAAAAGTATAAATTATATTGAATTTTAATAAAGGAAAATTGTTAAACAATTTCGTTTTCAATTTTTGTTAAATTCGGAAACACTCTTTTTAGATCTTTTTGCAGTTGCTCATTTTGCATATTAATTAATTATTTTTTTACTTGTTCTGAAAGCTTGTGTCTCTTGACTCTCATCCACTAACTCTCGACAATTCACCCTTTGTCGGCTTAGGCTTTTCACTAACTTTTTTTCCGTTGTCTCTTTACACAAACTAATATTAGCGCTTTATAGTAATATACATTGTAGCCTTAATATAAACTATATAAGAAAAAAAGGGTTCTGTGGCCCGAAAGTTAAAAAAAAAAAAAAAAAAAAAAAAAGAACTTTAAGCCGGCAACAACAGCTGCATTGCAATGCATGTCGGGAGCCTGCCTCCTCCTTATCTCCTGTTCCAAGGTCACCGACCGAAATTCTCTTCCACGATGTATCAGCTGTTCTAACCTCCGTACTTTTCCCCATTACAGCGCCATGATTTTGATACTCAGCGTTTTAAAATTTGAGAACATTATACCCTTTATCTGCGTTACATGATTTTTCAGGACGCGTTTTGAAAGCTTTAAATTTAACGTAAAGACACGCATTAGCAGAGATTGTCTTTAAATCAATGGCAGTAGGGAGGGCGAGCGAAGGACGGAATGGGTGTAAACATGTTTACAGTTTGCAACATGGAGTGCGGTCTACTTTCAACGCACAATCTGATGCAAACCGGCGAAATTTTTTGATCGGAAATCTCTCTTATTCCAACATCGGGGTCAGAATCAAATTTTAAAACGCAAACCTGCAGATATTTGTGACAAAATGCCGGGAATCAGCCGATATCTTTAGTTTTTCCGGTATCCGGCCTCTCGCCTACGTTTGACAAGCCGGTTCACGGTCCAATCAGGGTGTAGCGGCTCTTTCCATCTCGCCAATCGGTGACGCTTTGCGTCACGTGGTTTTGTTGACGTGAGCCCGGCCGGCTCAGGAACCTGGCAGAACGAGACAAGAGCTGAAACGAACCGGCGAGTTGAAAGTTTTCGCGTTGCTATTTAGGAAAAGCGAACTTATAAAAAAAAATAATAAATAGCGGCAATAGCAGTTTAATGATAGTTAATTTTTTGCTTTCTTCATCACGTTCAATCAGATTTTATTATTCAAATAAGCTGATTATTTTTTACGATATGTGTTTGGGATTTTTAGATTCAGATTTTGTGTGAAGGATGTCTACAGGCAAGCGATTGGCAAAGAGGTCCATTTTGGGCACTCGGGTATGCGCCCCGAATTCGCAGGGGCTTTTTGTGCCAGGTGTGATCCAGGCAACCAAAACAGACGATCATCTTAGCGTGTATAGTGTATGTTTGGATGACAAGACGACTGCCGAGTATGGTCCAGGCGATCTGGTGGGCCCAGGATTTAAGACTATCATGGATGTCATTTTGCAAAGGGGTCAGAAAGTTTACGTTACACACAATGGGAGAGAAGTGAAAGGTATGGTATCCCATCACAGGCCGGATACTGACGAAGTTGAACTTAGCCTTCCATCAGTTGGACTCATACTAAAGAAGAGACTTGAAGAAATACGGCTAATAGAAAGCCGAAAGTCCGCCAGGCTACAAGATACAGATACGGATTATTCCAGGCTAGCCGATGGTCAGCCGGAACCCAGACGAAGGGCTTCATCTTTAAGCATCGACGTACCTTATGGTCAGAGGTAATTCTAACAAATTTCTTGTAATTTTTCTCATGCTTTTCTTATCATTTTCCACATATTAAGTATATTTTTAATCATTTCCTGAAATATTTGTTAATCATTGCATAAAATAATGCGTAATCATTTCTGTGTCCTGGTTATGGGTTATTTACATAAAACATGTATGCCTAAAATGTACACGTTGACGGTTTTTGCTGTTGAGTTTGTGACTCAGACCTTTCTGTCCTCGAATTCCATGCGTACCCCAGAAAATGTACTTTTATTTTTCACTACAGAAAATTTTGAATGTTTTGATGCTAGCCATTTTTAGAATCTTCGACGAAATTAATCATTTCTTAAACTTTCAACGTTCGAATTATCTGGAGCATCTGTTGATTTCCTACGTTTTGTAATGCTTTTTTTTTTATGATAACGTTGACTCTTCAATACAGACGTATTGACACTACAGCAGTTTATTGAAAAGAAAAAAAAAAATAATTTCTATTACTTTACGCTTTGTGATCAGAATAGTTTATCGGAACTTTGCAAAAACATTGGCGACTTTTTGGCATAGTAGAAAATGTCAGGGAGATAAGTATCGCCATCTGGTTGCCATCAATCTATCGTACTCTAGTCCTCATTTTATAATTTTCGTAAAGCATTGAGCTAAATTATCGAATTTGCGTTAATCTCTATATATACTTCTTTTCACATATAACTTCCTACATTTGCATGACATTAATTTTAAGCACTCTGTTATCATTAAACATGAATTTTTAAAGGTTTCTTTTTTTTAATTTAAAAAGAGAGGCTCAATTTATGCGTCGTAGCCATTCCCAGTTTATAATTCATCTGTAATATCTGTTCAATTAAAAGTTTTAACATAACAGCATAAGTTTTTATGCGGGGTATAATTTTTTACCTTTGGTTTTAAAAGTACTCAGTTTTAGAATAATAAGTAGAACGTATTTGGAAATAAAAATACAACGTATTTGGGAAAAAGGATCCGAGAACAGTAGTTAAATAACCGGAAACAGATTTGAAAATACATCTGAATTATCACGCATGCATGTTGTGCAAAACTTCAAATATTCTCTACTTGGCAACTGAAATAGAACAGATAAAAAAAAAAAAAGAGTTTTTTAATTCGATGGCGTTGAACATCTGTAAGTGTTGATAGTTATTCGTAAAAATATTTTCCTATATTTTTCTTAACATTTTTCTTATCTAACACTAGAGAAAAATAGTTTAGATGCGCCTGTGATCGTACCGGCGAATTGACAAGCTGTAGAGTAGCGCTTTGTAGGTCATATCTGTCAGAAAGTAATGCAGCCCTGGCAACAAGCTTCTTTGGCTTATTCTGACATTTTTAACCACGGAATTTTACTTTTTCAACAGGCTTTCCTTGCGAGTTCCCTGCTGTTCCCCCGTCATATATTTTTTAATTGAGTGAGCGAATAAAACTAGTTTGGGGATGTGTTTTGTTATATATACCTTCTTTTTACTTAAATTTCTCTAATTTAAAATGTTTAAATATGTATTTTTTTTCCTTTGGTTCAACTAAATGTTGGAATTCGTAATTAATTAAATTAGAATTTGAAATGCTAAATTAGTAAACTTTTAATTTTTTATCAATTTAGCATTTAATATATTACATATTTTTATTTTTAGTCCAAAAGGACTATTATTAGTCGTGAAACACAATTATCCATTGTTTCACTTTTCATTCGAATCTGTCGCCATTCTGCAAAATGCAAGATGTTTTCATTCAGATTTAGGCTGTCAGTTATTAATTAATAAAATAAGTTATTTAAAAGTAGTAGATGCAGTTTTCAAGAATGTTTTTTTTTTCTTTTTGATCTGATTAATTTAAATAAAAATGCATTTAGTTCATGACATATCTAACTAAAAACATGAAGCATTTTTATAGAATTCTTAATGTTTTTAGTTAGATATGTCATGAACTAAATGCATTTTTTGGTTTTTCTTATATATTCTTCCAGTATTCACAGAAGATGTACAAATTCTTAATGTTAATCTAAATGTATATTCATTTAGTGTCTTGTAAAATATTTTGCTATTCCACCTGGACGACCATCTCTATTGATAATTTCTGCAGACAAACCATATTAAACCTTTTAAAGCCTTTTAGGAATTTAAAATCTTAGCCCTTTCAGACTTTTTTTTTTTTTTTTTTTTTTTTTGGCTTTATATTGCAATTCATTTTTTAAATTACTTTAAAGATACGTTTATTGAAATAATCGGGCTTCAGTGTGATCACAGTTTGTATCTTTTCGAATAATGATTAAAAAATATTTTCCCATCACTAATGTAATATTACGAAATATTGACTTTTTTTAATTTAAAAAAAAATAAATTAAATTATGTTAACTTTTAACTTTGTTTTATTATTATATTATTCAGTTATTAAGTTTCATAGTATTTTTTGGTGTTTTATCTTTATAAATCTGTGTTCTATCTTTATAAACGCCTTTGAATGTTACCTTTAGCTATTAAAAAAATCGGTGATTCAAAAGCCTGTGTGTTTTTTTTAAATAATGAGTTAATTAATAATCTGTTTTGAATGAGAAATAGGATTTTACTACGTAAAATTAGAATTTTTTCCCAATTAAGATCTAATTTAATGTTTATCTTAAGAAGAATTCTATTGCCCTTATGTAATGTTTTTAGCTTTCATTTTACTTTGTCCATATGTTGACCTGTTATTGAGTATTAGTTTTCAGTAGCATGTGGTCAATTTTGCAAATTTTTTACGTTAAAGAAGAGGCCAAACAAAACATTTAACTGTCAGGATTTCCCTTCTTTGATACCGGCATAGAAGAAATCTGTCAAAAGTGGGTTTACCAGCTCCGTGAAAACGACCAAGGTGTTGTTGTGAAACATGCCGTGCCCCAATTATAAACAAGGTCGACTGCTATGCCATGGTCTAAAACCAACGGTGTCCTAAAATCATATTAAAAAAAAATAATAATAAATTAAATGCTGTGCATAGCTGTCGTTGGAACCTGTTTTTCATGACGGTTCGTTCCAAAAAATCTTCCGCAACTTCAATATTTATCGTTTAGTCGCGTTAATAAACAAATACATTTCTCCAGAATTTCGTGTTATTTATCAGAGCCTTTGTGGCAATGCCCTAATTTGTGTAAAAGACAGAAGGACTATGATTAGAAAAGAATCCTTCCATTAAAGTAGCGCAAGATTTCATGCAATTAAAAAATGCTTTAAAAGAATATGTTAGTTTGGTAAGCTTTGATCAGTGCATATAATAATAATAATGAAAGGTAAAATGATTCTTTCACGGATAAAATGATTCCTTATTCACTTAGTTGCTTTATATAAAAGTTATTAATATAATTGTTCGGAATTTGTAACAAATAGCGTAAAATAAAAGAAAATTATGCACTCAGGTTAGATTTTTTATTTTTTCCTCTCCCCTTTCAGTGATCTTAAACTATATTTTCAGTCCTATTAAGTATTTGGCAGTTGAATTAATAAGTTATTTTCTAGAAAAGAGAACATGGGGAAAATGTATTTATCTTTTTTAAAAAAACTATTTGCTATAATCTAAAAAGTGTTCCACAGCTCATTCGAAACTTGATATTAAAAACATTTGTAAGTATAGTGCCTGATATAGTTCTGGGTAAATTTTCAGATAATTAAAAAGGGGTTTTGAAAGCTTTTGTTAGATGGCGTTCAAATAAGTATTCTGTATCGAAGTAGTCATGCGTAGCGTTAACATCTTTATTAATTATAATAATAATGAAAATGCACGTAAATATTAAAAATTAGATATATTATAAATTTTACGAATGAGATGTATCATGAATTTAGATCCATCAGAGATATTAATAAGATACAAAGTAAAGATATAAAAAAAAGTATGTGCATTGCTTTTAAATCTTTTAATATGTTAAGAAATGTATAATTTTAATCTGAATGGTGAATTTTAAATCTTATGCCATGACAAATGGCAATATCAATGAAAGAGGGAATTGACTTAGTATCATCAATAATAAATTTAATATTGTATGCGGCATGGAATCGTAACAAATATCAATCTCTTGAATGATAAATAAGGTAATGGACATTTGTCGATTTTATGATCTGGCTAAAGATTTCGTTTCTGCTGCAGTGCTTTCTGTATTCAGCTAAATGATTAACACTACTAATTTAGTTTACATAATAAGCTTTGCACTTAATGAAGAATGGCTCACCATTATTAAATCTCATTTGTATGAAATGCAAGGAATAATCTGTTCCTCTCATTGCTAACTTTGGAGAGGGGGGGGGAAACGACTGAATGATTCTGAATAAAACTTGCAAGTTTAATTTTACCTTGGGTTGAAAATTCTCTTCTTTAGAAAGACCAAGGTTGCCTTGTAGATTGTGGATGCTTAGCCTTGAGAAGAGATCATTTGAATGTTCACTGGTTCGTTCATTTTTTGGAAAAAAAAAAAAAAAAGAGAGAGAGAGAGAGAGAGAAAAAAAAAAATATAAAAAAAAGAAAGAAAATATAATTTATGTCTTGCAAGAAGTTTTATATTTTTCAGCCCCCCTCCCCTCTTTTTTGTTTTGTTATAGAAACGTCTTTAAATGTCTTACTGCCTTAAAAACATTTTTTTTTATTTGTAAATACTTATGTTACGTTACTAACCATCATATGTGTTTTACTAGCCTTTTAAAGAATTCTTATTGCATGCAATATCAGGTCTTTATCTTCCATGCATCCTGGCGCATAGGCAGTTCTCAAAATATTATTGAAATTCTGTAAAATTACGTATTCATATTGTGCGGGTTTTTTAATTTATCGTTCATATTTAATCATTCTGTAATTCTTTAACAAAAGGAGAGATTTAAATACAATAAACGCAGCTTTTAATAACTTAAATCTTTATTTTACACTTTAATAAAATGGTAATATGAATTAAAATGTATTTAATTCATAATGGATAATCAACTAATAATTTTTATGGCATTTTGCACCATTGGCGTAAAGTTGC